TGGAGGTGGCAGCGACCCGCGGCGTGACTGCCCGCACGGTGAACCGGGGGCCGAGGCTGGCAGCCAGGGCGACGGCGTCGCCGTCCTCGAGGCCCACGGTACCTCCGCGCTCCATGGGCTTGCCGTTGACGTAGGTCCCGTTCGCGCTCGACAGGTCCCGCAGCCGCACGCCCTCCCCAGAGAGCTCGATGGAGCAGTGGCTGCTGCTGACCGCCGCGCCCCTCACGACGATGTCGCAGGCCGCGTGGCGGCCGAGCACGACCTTGCCGCCCTTGGGGATGAGCTTCGCTTCGAGGCTCACCGCGTCTACGATCTGCCACGCACCAGCCAGCTCGACCTCCTGGCGAGGCTCCCTCGCGGGGCGCGCCGCCGCAGTGCCGCCGCCTCCGCTGCCCCTTCGCTGGGCGGCGGGGGCGCGGGGAACGGCCTGGAACCCCAGGCCCGAGGCGAAGCCGAGGCCGAGCCCGTTCAGGTCGTGCCGCAGGTCCGCCGCCTGATCCAGGGCCTCCTGCGCCCACTGCCAGCCCGCCTCCGCCGACTCCTTGCCCACGGCGCGCACCTCGCCCAGCAGCGCCACCACCGAGCGCGCGGTCGTCGTGGGCGCCCAGCCCTGCAGCAGCGCGCCCAGGGCGGCCGCGAGCCCGGGCGCCTCCTCCTGGCCCGCCCAAGCGAGCGGGTGGCCGCCGCCCGCCGCTGCGAGGACCCCGGCGGCCAGCGCGTCCCGCAGCACCGCCTGCTGCAGCGCAGGGGCTGCGAGCAGGGCCGCCGCCGCAGCCCGGACCACCCGCAGCTGCAGAGCCGCCGGGGCGGCGCCCATGCGCTCCAGCGCCAGCGCTGCCAGGCCCAGGCGCCTGCAGGCCAGGCGCGCAAGGCGGCTCGGCGGCGTCGCCCGCGCAGCAGACGCGTGCGGCTGGGGGTCCAGCATCCACAGCCTCGCCCCGAAGAACGCCTCCGCCGCCTGCACGAAGGCCTCTGCGTGGGTGGGCGTGAGGAGCGGAAGCGTGCCGAAGAAGTGCAGCAGGCGGCCACAGCAGACCGCCCTCGCCACGCTGTCCGGGCCTCCGTCGTCGCCCGCGCCGCAGCGGGTAGGCAGGCCGCGCGGCCCGTCGCCCCCGTCCGGCTGGGCGCTCGCCGCAAGGGACCGCCCCACGCCGCATACCTCGCCGAGCAGGCGCCCGAGCATCCACTTGGCAGCTGCGCCGCCGTGAAAGAGGTGGCCCATCATGGTGAGGCAGCAGGCACGGTCGCAGACTACCGCCCGGAGGTGAGCTTGGTCGTTGCTGACGCACGAGGCAGTGCTGCTCGCCAGGTCGACGCTCACCAAGACCCTGGCCAGCGCCACGAACAGATCCAGCGTGCAGCCTTCTCCCAGCGTGCCGCCGTGCAGAAGCACCGCGTCGGTCAAGAAGAGCACCGCGATCTCCGCAAGGCGTGCCGCCACTCGAGGTGGCGCGGAATCGGCGAGCTCTGAGATAGGGTCCCGCAGTGAGGGCAGCTGGGCCTCTAGCAGCCCCATGAAGAACGGCCAGTGGGATTCTGCATGATCTGCGCTCTTAGTCGCGTACACCGCAATACCCATCAGCGCCGTGACTTGAGTGGTGTGATCTCCGTTCGGTGCGCGCACCGCAGACCGGAGCGTTGTGTCGAGCAGTCCGCTCTGCGCCGCGTCCCGCTCAAGGGGCGCCCGGCTCTGTTGAAGCCAGGCCGTTGAGATGAGCACGGCGCGAAGACGCAGCTCGTCGCGCCTCTCCTCTGCTTTCGCCAGGGCCTCGCCCATCGCCCGGGTGGTCTCCTCGATCTGGCCACACCTGGCGCGCAGCGCCTCTGCGACCTCTGCGACGTCTCCGCGGGACTGCTGGGACGCGAGCACCCAGCGGGCCTCCTCCAGCTCCTCCCTCGCGGACGCCGCCTCCTGACCCAGCTCGGAGACGCTCTCCTCGGCCTCGTCGCGGGCCCGCCGCACGCCGTCGTAAACCGCCGCCGTGAGGCGCGACACCCAAAGCTCGCGCGCGCCTGCGGCGGCGGCACCGGCACGATCGCCGGACACTGAGCGCAGCAGCAGCATCGCGACCAGCATCGGGCTCGGGACGGCCTCGGCGGCGGCCCCGAGGCGCACCTGTGGGAAGGCGCCGTCTCGGAGGAGGTCCTCCGCCAGTGGGCCCACTTGGGCGGCCTGAAACAGGGAGAAGGAAACTCAGCACAGCCACCGCCTGGGGAGCGCAGGCTCTGCTGCTCTGAAGGGCTGCAGGTGTACAGGATGCCCGGCGGAAGCGCGCCAGAGAGCCCCTGACCACGCCTTGCCCCCAGCCTCCCCCCTTGGCGGCGGCCGGGGGGTTTGAACTGGATGGGACCCCAGGAAATCAGTCAGGAGGGGGGGGGATGAAGCCAAATCCGCTCAAAATCAATCCCCGGATCCCTCCCAAGCCCCACCTGGTGCAGATTTTCACCCTGGATCCGTTTTTGACGGTCCCAGGGCCCGAAAACGGCCCCTGGAGTAAGAAAAAAACTGCAAAACCTTCTCGAGCCCAGAACCTTGAACCTCGCCCCCCTCCCTCCTGGCCAGAACCAGTGCTGGGCCACCTCAGACCCCAAGCCGGTTCCAACCCCCCCCCATCTGCAGGTGGTGGTGGTGGTGACCCTGCCCTCCTCCCCGCCTTCAGCACCGCCGCCGCGGCATGCGCGACGGCCGCTCGCCCAGCGGAGTGCGGCGGCAGCTCCGCGACCCGCACGATGAGGAGCAGCTGCCTCAACTCCAGGCGGCTGCTCCTCTTCAGCGCCTGCAGGACGAGCGGGGGCAGCCCCCCGCCCGGCGGGGCCTCGCCGAGCGCCGCGGCCGAGGCGGCCGCCACGCGCGCGAAGAGCACCCGCTCCAGCGAGCTCCCCGGCGCCAACTGCTCCAGGGCAGGCTCGGGCGCGAGCAGGTTCCGCAGGTGCCCGCACTCCGGGTCCTGCCGGCGCAACCAGGTCAGGGCAGCGGCGAGCCGCCCGGCGGAGCGCTCCGCGAGCTCGGCGTCTGCCAGGAGGCGGCCCGGCCAGCCGCGCTGCATGGCCGCGAGGAGGCACCGGGCCGCGGCGAAGCGGACGGCGCGGCTGCGGTCCCCCACGGCGTGGAGCACCGCTGCAGGCCACACCGGCGCCCACTCCTCGCCGCCCTGGAGGACCTGGGGCATCATCGCCTGCAGCAGAGCGCGCCGCACCCTCGGAGACACGTCCAGGCCCGCCCGCGCCACAACGCCTGTGGGCGGGGTGCTGCCATGGAGGACCAGCGCGCGCACGGCCGCAGCGCGGACGTGCTCGCTGCAGTCGCTCATCGCGCGCTCGATGAGGACATCGGCAGCAGAATCGACCTTGAGGGCAACAGCGCCGATGCCCTCCACGGCCACCAGCCTCACGTCCGCGTTCCGGTCCCGCGCGCGCGCGAGCAGGAGATCACCCACGCCTGCGTGCAGGTCCGCGGGCAGGGTGCTGCCTCTGGGCCGCTCTCGCAGCGCCTTGAGAAAGGACCCCAGCAGCGCACACGAGCGCCAGCGCACGCCCGTGTCAGAAGCGTCGCAGCCAGCGCCTCCAGCGGCGACCAGCAGCCACTGCACCGCCGCCTCGACACTGGCGCCGCCGAGCTTCGATACAACGTCGGCGATGCCGCGGAGCGCCGAGGCCGCTGCGAGCGGACGCTGGTGCGGCGCCTGCAGAAGGGGCAGCAAGATGCCGCCGCAGAGCGTGTTCTGGAATGCGTCGGCGTCCTTGTCGCGCAGGGCAAGGATGAGCTCAGCCGCTTCCTTGTTGAGGCCGTCAGAGCACTTGGTGAGAATGGTACTCGCATCGGCCTGCGCACTCTCTGACAGCGCCACCTCGAACGGCACCACAGCAGCGCGCTCCGCAGAGTCGGCCACGCTGGGCAGGCGCGGCGCCGTGCGCTGACGAAGCTCCTCCAAGACCGACCCCCGCTTGTGCCTCACACCTCTGCCCAACGGCGCCGCACCTGACTCCTCCTCCTCCTCCTCCTGCTCTTCCTGCTCTTCCTCCTCCTCCTCCTCCTCCTCCACCTCCTCCTCCTGCTCTTCCTGCTCTTCCTCCTCCTCCTCCACCTCCTCCTCGCTCCTCCTCCTCCGCCTCCTCCTCCTCCTCCTCCTCCTCCTCCTCCTCATCATCATCATCATCATCATCATCATCATCATCAGCATCATCAGCATCAGCATCATCATCATCATCATCATCATCATCATCATCATCATCATCATCATCATCATCATCATCATCATCATCATCATCATCATCATCATCATGATCACCATCATATCATCATCATCATCATCATCATCATCATCAGCAGCAGCATCAGCATCATCATCAATCATCGTCCATCATCATCATCGTCCACATCATCATCATCATCAGCAGCAGCAGCATCAGCATCAGCATCAGCATATCATCATCATCATCATCATCATCATCATCATCATCATCATCATCATCCTCATCCTCATCCTCATCCTCATCCTCATCCTCATCCTGATCCTCATCCTCATCCTCATCCTCATCCTCCTCATCCTCATCCTCCTCCTCTCCCCCCTTCCTCCCTCCCCCTCCTCTTCCCCTCCTCCCCCCGAGCACCTGGCTGGATCAGGCCCAAGACTCCGGGAATCATCGCAGGACCGCCTGCTGACGCCGCGCAGAGGGGAGCGGCGCACGACGGGAGCGGCCTTCCCGATCACAAGGGATCGGAAGCCTCCGAACAAGGCTTCTTGGAAGGCCGTCCCCCTCGCGCCCATCCCTTCCTGCGCGCCGCCCAGTATTGGGGGAAGGGCGTCGGATGGACCAGCAAGGGCTGGTGAAAAGAAGAAGTCCGAAAGCGAAGCGCGCTTGAGCTCAAATGGCTGGCTGCGGAAACGCTCCAGAAGCCTGCCTTGACCTCTCCCGTCTCTGTGCCTCCGAAGCCGCCGCTCTCCGCCGAGCTCCCGCTTCCCCAGGCAGCCTACCGTGTGATCTTTTCAACCCGCGGGCCCCAGACCTTGAGAAATCCCTCCCTCTGGAGCTGGGCTTTCGCCCCAGAGATATGCCTGATGGTTCTGGACCCCAAGACTGGCCCCAGACCATCTCCTCCGAAGCCAAAATTTTGCTCGTGGCACAGGCCCTCGGGGTTCTCGATCCCTTCCATCGTGGATCGCTTTTCCCGGTCCCTGGAGCCAGAGGACGGCATCGAGGACGGCATCCAGCTGCCGAAGCCGTCCGAAAACTGGCCGTCACTATTTTGTGCGCCGCCGGAGTGCCGGACTGAGAAAACAGCCCGCCCGAAGTTTAGCGGACGAAGACCAGTATAGCATACACTTGTCCGCCGTCGGGCACGCCTGCCTCGGGGCGGCTGAGAAGTTTATACCCCGACGCCCCACTGGCGGCGGAGCAGGAGGAGGAGGATGGGAAGGAGGGAGAAGGGAGGAAGAGGAGGAGGAGGAGGAGGAGGAGGCGGCGTAAGGGAAGGAGGAAGAGGAAAAAGAGAAGGACGAGGAAGGGAAGTGGGCGGGGGAGAAGGAGGATAATCAGGAGGAGAAGGATGGTGAGGAGGAGGAGGAAGAGAAGAGAAGAGGAAGAGGAGGAGGAGGAGGAGGAGGAGGAGGAGGAGGAGGGGGAGGAGGAGGAGGAGGAGGAGGGAGGAGGAGAGGAGGAGGAGAGGAGGAGGGGGAGGGGAAACAGGAGAAGGAGGAGGCAGGGGGAGAAGGCAGGGGGAGGGGAAAGAAGAGGATGGCGAGGAGGAGGAAGATGGGGGAAACGGGACGAAAGACAGATAAAGAGAGAGAGAGAGAGAGAAAAAGAGACGTTGGCGCCCTGTCGCGCAGCGGCCCACTCCCCGGAATTTGATGCCCCAGCGTGGTAAGCAGGTTGTTCCAAATCGGCCCCCGAACCCTTGGGCCCAAATGGCCACAAACACCGGACAGAGCGACAGGATACACATTCGCGTTGGCACATGGGGACGTATTCTCGAATAGCCCTACACGCGGAGCGACAGCGGTCAAAGAGGAGGGCGACGTTGATGCCTCTTGTACGGCTGGCGCACACGAGGGCCCTGTCGCGCAGGGCTGGAGCCACTCCCGGAAACTTGACGCCCCACCTTCTGCGATGGGACTGGGTCACCAAGGAAGGGGGGGGGGGCGCAGGCCTGGAGGCGCGGGGATCGGACCCGGGGGCCCCCCACCAGACGCTGTCAGCGTCAAAGCTGCCACCACACCTCGGTCCTCACGCCCCGTCCCTCAGGCATCGCCACCCCCCTACGGCACCGCACTCGCGCGCGCGGGGGCACGGGCGCGGTCTCGAAGCCCTGCCCACCTTCCATAGGGCCCTCCGCGGCTGGGACACCCTTCCCGCCCCGGATTCCCCCGCCGCCGCGGCGGACAGACGGGGGGCTCAGAGGCGAGAGGGTGGCCCCCCCCCCGCGGCGGCGAGAACCACAGGGCGGGGTTTCAAGATTACCCCGCAGGCACACCATGGAGCTGGGCACCCCGCCCCGATGGGTCGCATGGGGCCCCGCGCACCGCTGCGCCACCTCCAGGTTCGCCCGCGCGACGCCGTCCGGGACGTGCTGGGCGGGGCCGTCACCGCGGCGCCAGGCGCGCGCGCCCACGACCCCCCTGGCAGCGCCCAGCTGCGGGCATCCTGCTCGCGGCGGCCGCCCTCTCCTCGACGATCGACTCGTAAAGGTTCCTGGGAGGCCTGCGTCATCTCGTAGAGCACATGCCACTTCAGGTCCGCGGCCGCCACTCGGATCCTCAGGGACTCTTCGAAGCCTGTTGTCTTCATGTTGCTGAGAGCCGTCTGCCTCATGGTTCTTTTCGAGCGATTGCCAGTCCAGGCTCGGCGCCAGTTTTCGCGACCTCAGCTCGTCCGATAGCTCGACGAGGAGGACCGTCCATGGCAGCTTGGTCGACGTGGCCCTGTTCAACGCGCAGGCGTCGACACTCCATGCTCGACAAGGTTGTCCGTCGACCACGCCATCTTGGGTTTCGTCCTCTGGCGCAGTCCTCCGGGTCTCGTGAACAGCTTCGCGCAGAGGATCGCGCAGAGGTGCTCCAGCGTCGCGATGACACTGTCCGGGTCGTCTACCTTGGCCCATGCCCAACGGCAACATCCCTTTCCTACCTCTAGCGCGTACCAGCGAACTCCTCGCGCGCTGCCGTTCGGCCGCATCTCCCAGCCGCCTACCCAGCAGCGCCCACTCTCCGCCTGTGCCCCCGAGCGCAAGTGCCCGGCGCTCGCGATTCTGACCTTGATGGGCGCCTCTAAAACGCGCCCGATCGCCAATCGCTTGCCGATCCACGTCAGCACGAGCCTGGTCGCCCAGGGTAGGGAGACCTTCTGCTATTATTCCTCTGCGACGCTGGCGAACCAGGCGCGCACAGGCCCCAGGAGTGGCCTCTCCCGAACAAGGAGCACTACCGCGAAGCTCAGTCGCCCGAAACCTGACGCCATCTCGCCCACGTGGACGGCGCCACGTTCGACCGTCTCCTGACATAAGGCCGCTACCAAAGCCGCCCTCGCCCCCGAGAGGCCCATGGTGTGCGTGATCCAGTTCACCTTGAGGCCCCCCCGCGTTCTGGTCATTTGCACCCGGAAGCCGAAGACGCCAAGAAGGACGACCATGGCCCCCGACGCCCCACTCCGATCGCCTCAGGGTCGTCAACATAAGTTGACGTCGCGCCAGGAGGGGGGTAGGGGGAGGGGGGAAAGGCTTGATAGAAGAGCCTGCTTCTTGGAAGGCGCTGGCCATGCGTCTATAGATAAGGCGCGTGGCTTCTAAGAAGACGGGGTGTTTCTAAGAAGCCTTCCGCCTTGCCCCATACACCCCTTCTACGAGTGACCGAATAAGTGAGTTGTTATGTTAACCAGTCGCCTCGCAACAAACAGAAGATCGCCCGTTGTCCGGCTCCAAACAGTCTGGCCCACCATTCAGAGGCGCTGGATATGCTGGACGTGCCGACGATGTTGCAGTAAACCTCGCCTTCGAAATCGCAAGCCAGCATGCCCCCTTCGTCCTCGCGGATCTTGACGAGCCGATGCGCGCCCTCGACGTCGGTGACGAGCGAGAGAATTACTTGGCGCAGGTCCTCGTAGTAGCTCAGGAAGTGGTTCTTATCTGCGGGCCTCGCCATCCACTGTCGGTTCCGGCATCGAATGCGGTGGCTCACGGCGACCTCGCGGGTGCCGTCATGCACGAGTCTCTTTTTGCCGCTTGCGCTCTCCAGGACTGCGAACGCCGCAATGGCGTAGCTGTCGTGGAA